TAAAACACGATGGTTGCTCTGCCGGCACAGTTATTTCTGGCCAAGTATATTGAAAGATTGCATTGAATACGCGCAAGGTTGTGTACAATGTCAAATTCATGGACCTATATAGAGAGTCTCGGTCGAATTACTTCACTCGGTCACTAAACCATGGCCGTTCAGAGGATGGGCCATAGACGTAATCGGCAAAATTACGCTGTCTTCCAGATCATCAAAGCATGCATGGATATACCCGTTGCGACGAACTACTTCACGAAGTGGGGCGAAGCGAAGTCATACACCGAGTTAACTTCTAAAAAGGTCTATAATTTTGTAGAAGAAAACATCGTGACAAGATTCGACATACTAGAAACAATTATAACGGCATAATTTTTACAGCCAATAGGTTTAAAGAGTACGCTGCAAGTCTGAAAATTCGACTCGATTAGTCCACGCCATATTATCCATAAATAAACAAATAGGACGAAGCAAGTAATAAAGTTTTAATCGGTATCCTTGAGAAAATGATAAAAGAAAAGCCTGGTATGTGGCATTTGAAGTTAAACGAGGCATTATGGGCATACCAAACTTCACTCTGATCAGCAACAGAACGACCCCATATGCATTGACTTATGGACACGACACGATGCTACCGGTCGAACTAAGCATAAACTCATTACGAGTTATCGAACAAAGTAGTTTGTTCAATGCTGAGTATAGTCAGGCCAAGAGGCAAGAGTTAAAGGACTTGGAGGAAGCTTGGCTCGATGCCTATAACTTACTGGTGACTCATAAAAAAATTGTTGAACGAGCTTATAATTGACAAGTTAGGAAAAAGACGTTCGGTGAAGGTGAATTAGTATGGCAAACTGTGTTGCCAATAGGGATTAAAGACCCTAGATTTGGGAAATGATCTTCGAATTAGGAAGAACCATTCGTCATCCACAAAGTCCTCAGCAAGGGCATACCACCTCAAGGATCGAACTGGTTTAATTCATAAATTGCCAATCAATGGGAAATTCTTAAAGAAATATTATCCGATCACTTGGGAAATGCAAGAATAAAATTTTTATTAATTTGAAACGAGCATACAAGTAAAGTTACAAATAGTCAATCGGCCTACAACTAAAGACAAAATCCTAAGGAGTCGAAGGAAGAAAAGCTTCAAGAGAGGCTTTCAGTTCTAGCCACCTTACTTCGCCCATTGTAACCTCGGCCTGTCTTGTTCTTTTGTCGAGTTGTAGTTGCTGTATTTGCTTCTCACTCGCCACGTACTCTGCTAATCGAGGTTTATTCGACTCAAAATCCTTTTCAAGCTTGGAAGCAACGGTCGACCTTTGACGTTGAAGTTCAGCAATTTGACAGTCAAGATCAGCTAGTCACTCCTTCTTTGCCTTTATGGCCTCAAGCTCTGGTTGGATAGCCTCATGAGCGACCATTGCAGCCTTGAGGTCATGGTTTACCTAAAGAGCCCTTTCGAAGATAGTGAAATATTATCGGGTTTGTTCTAGGACAGTAGACGAGTGAACGACATTTTCATAGCTCAGAAGGTCATCGGTTGCAAGGTCATTTAGATCCTACAAAATCGAGGCCTTTACATTGAAGGATTTGTAAAATCGAGAAAGATAGAAGCTTTTGCAGATTGGCTAATGCTCTAGACTCGGCTGTAATTACAGATGGCTCGATTGTGGAAGCAGAAGGCCCAGCCGTCCCCGAAGTACTGGAAATAAGAGCGTCGAGCTCGATCTCCTATGAAGCCTACACAAAAGTGCTTGTTAGGAAAATGAGAATTCAAAGTAATGGCACAAAAGGAAGTTGTGTTAGATCTGCCGAGATGAGACTTCGGCCATGTCTGCTGGTTCTTTGCTCAAAGCTAGAGAGCTTACTGGACGAGCCCAGTGTTTAAGGTAGCTTTTTAATTCGTGCGACCGATGAAGGTTATCTGCGCTTGATGGCCCTTGAGGTAGCCAGTAAATATAAATAACACCTTCCAACTTATAGAATTTTTGGTGAAATGAGGCCCTCCTCTTCCGAACCAGTGAAGTGGTTGATCAAAGTGTTGTAGTTGAAGAAATTTTTGTGCAGTTTTTGCACATCTTTTTTCAACGGCCCTTGATTTTTCTTCGTCAAGACTTCGACGGCACCTTCGTCGAAGATTGCCTTCAGGTCCAGGTTAAATTCGTACCGCGACAGAACGGCGTCGACTAGGAAACCAGAGGGGGAAGTGCCAAGTATGGCCATGATATCCAGCACGGTTGGCCCGATGGGGCTAAGGGGAAGAATCATTGTATTAGTGGCTGAGCACAAGAAGCTTAGGGCGGCCATTAAGAGCTCTTGGTCCATGTTGATCTCATGGATCGAAAGCTTAATGGCTTCAAACATGCGAAGAGTCTTCCACTCGTCGCTGAAGTGTGACTCCATGCTGGTAACCCAGGCGGCCTACACTGCAGTGGTCGAGGGCCAAGCTCCTTGGGGTCTGGCCAACTCTTACTTCAACCAATTGTACCCTTGAAATAGGGGTTCAAAGTATTGGGCCTTCAACATCTTGGTGATTGACTCTAGGACGTCGTCCTTGAAAAGTGGTCCCAGAGTTTGGTGGGAGGCACTCGAATCACCCTCAGATCGGAGGGTTTTGATGGCGTTCCAATCAATGAAGTCTCGACACTTGTCGCATTCTTCAACGAGTTTAGTGATGAAGGTGTTGGCAGCCATGGATGAAGGTTGAAGATTTTCTGGGTTTCAAAGTTTGGTTTCTTTTCTAGGCTGGGAGCAAATGGTAAGAATTTCTGGAGGTTTGAAAGCGTGAAAATCCAAATGAAGATGAGTGTTTATAGACATTTGGGAAGAAGATCAATAGTTTAATTTTAAAAGAATTAGGGGTAAATTCGACCAAAGAGTTTTGTAATCATAGCAGAGATTTGAAAATCCAGGTGAAGAGGTCGAAAAGCTTGCAAATTGAGGATGCACGATTGAGTGTGACAGCGAGGTTTATGGTGAATGGACGTTTCAATGCCTGCACGCTTTGAACGTCATTATTGAAGAATGATAGGTGGGCTGAGGAACTACCATGTGGCAGGGAATCTGATAAGTTTAAGAGATCGGGCAATCATGTCTAACAAATACGCCTGGGTGGTTGGAGTATTTGAGGCTTTTCAATGTCCTCCGGTTTAGTAGAAGGAATATGCTAAGGGTTTATTTCGCTTCTTCAAGGTCGAGGCTCAGCCAAGACTTGTAGGTCGAAAACCTCAGAAGCGAGGGGGCAATGTTTGGGTCCAAAATATTATTTTGGCCAAGCTTAGAGTCATTCTCGGCCCAATAGCATTCATCTAGAATCTTGTTATGGGTCGTTTAGTCAAGGTCGGCCGAATCATATTACGAAGAGGTTTGGTTTAGATAATGGTGAGTTAGTCGAATCTTAGTGCAATAAGGAGTCTTAAGGCTAAGGATGCTGAGAATTAGGGGATGAATCTGGCTTGTTAAAAAGCTTAGTTAAAAGTCCTATGGGAATTAGGATTGGCCGAAATTGGATTAGATTGGGTTGAGGAGTTCTAATCCTAGCCCATTTCTAGTTAGGCCATGAGGTAATTCGTTGCTATAAATAGAGAAAGGAGTGCATCATTGAAAGCTCCTCCAATTCAACACACAAATTGCCCTGCACAAAGGTTCTCAACAACCTTGAGATTTTATCTTCTTCCCCTTTCTTCCCGCCAAGGCAACTGGTGACATCTTCACTTTGGATAAATAGCACTAGAGCAGTAGAATCAGCCGATCAATGAGCACCTTCAATTTGGATAGAGAGCATTGCTTCGAGGCCGATGGGTTATTATCCAAGTCTCGGTCGACAAGGATTCTCGAGTCCTTGTTGGTAGAGGTCATCTCATCAGCCTTATCGGTAAAGTGAGGTGTTACAAGTTACTAGGCTCGGCACATTGAATACCGAGTTTGTTTTATGATTGGGTATTCACAAGTACGTTTTAGAGTTCGGCATTCTGACGGCCGAACCACGTTTACCATCAAGACATTTATCTCATTTGAGTATTTGTGTCTGTATAGTTTAGTGTCAGTTCAGCGTGCTTATACACTTACAAATATAATCACCGTGACTAAACCCGACGCCGAGATCCGTGAACTTTACAAGACTAGCAGCCTTGCCTTCAAACTTTATAACCCAAGGGTCGAGACGTGTTCCTTCCTCAGCCGTAGTCGCAAGATCGAGAAGTCAGCAGCGCGCTCAACATGATATCAGCATATTTTACTCCCTAGTCGAGCTTGGCAGTCAAGTTGGCATGCCCCGCACATAACCGAATGATGTAGTTAGATTATTAGTTACTCGGCCTATGCGCTACATAGGCTTAGTAGTTTTTAGGGTCAACAACGACATACGGTAAAGTGAGACATGAAAACAAGATTTGGAATGCATGTTGGGTCAAAATGACATTCAAACGGCTTGGTTATGTGGGACTGCACTCAAACATCAAACAAAGAGTCTAGTCCACAATCCTTATCAGGGTACCAAACACAGGCTTTCACTAAATTGGAATAATAACGCATCCATTGGTAATTACAAAATTAAGTTTTATGTAGGTTTTGTATAATTAAGGTCGTTTGATAATCATTCTTTTTTAGTTTTTAGTTTTGTTTTCACTTTTTCAAGAACTACAATCTTGTTTGGTAACTACTTTCAATTTTGAAAAAAAATTGAAAACCCAAAAATGAAAAACTGAAAACTGAAAATCAAAAAAAAAAAAACTTAAAGGCCAAATTTTGAAAACAGAAAGTAGTTTTTACTTTTTGTCCCTACAATATAATCAGTTGTGGCTGAAGATGCAGAACCAAGCGGCCTGGTTTATCTCGCCCAAAACTACGTCGTTAAGGAGTTAAAAGTAGTTTTCCCAGAACCTCCTCTCCACCTTTCGATACACATCTCAACCAAGAAAAATGTTGAACCAGCAAGACACATTGGTTTTACCCTGTGGAGTTGTAGTAAAATACAGAAAGCAGTAAAGTTCAAGACATCGAAGTGACCGGGAAAATCTACAACACAAAATCAGCCTTGATTGATTCACAATTCCCAATTGTTCAACAGAACCAGCTTAACATATATATTTTCCAAGCACCAACTATATCTAACAAAAGTTTTTCCAAAATTTTCCCAAGTCTTCCCAATTATCTGGCAACTAATGCATATGCTTAAACATATAAATTAGAAAAACAACCTTGCAAATGGTTACATACGGTGCGGAAAACTGGAATTCAGAATTCCGATGACAATGACCAGCAACCTTGAAAGCAAGCACACAGAACAACCATGCTGCTGACTACGGACAGGACAGACATCACAAACCATAATGCAAAATTCTTCATGCCTTCGTCGTCAAATTGATTCAGGTCTATTACCTTTCTTATTTTCATAAACAGTGTCTTTTGATGGAGCTCTCTCTGCACGTTCAGTTTTGTCTATGCTTTCTGCTCAATGCTCCGAGGTTATAGGTTCTTGAACATAGACGGGTTGGTGTTGGTCTTCATCCGCTGTCTCATCATCTGTATGGGACTGCTCTTTGCTTACCTCGGCCTTGGGAACTGCTGCCTCCTCTTGGGTGTGAGATCCAGCTTCACTTTCTGCAGTGGGCATGGTGGCATTCTCCTCAATCGTTGCAGCAATTAAGTTGGTCTTTTCCTCATTTACTGCCTTAGAAGTCATTTTTGGCTCATTCACCACATTTGGTAAAGTGGTCTTCTCAGACGGGAGTCTAGGAAGAGACTTCCGTTGTGGCTTCTTTGGATGCACAGGAGAGGGCCCTTTAGCAGTGTTCTGAGGTACTTTCTCATCCAGACTAAGCCTGCTAGATCGACCATTGGTATTACCGTGTGCTTCAGAAACTGCAGGAGGTAAGCTCTTCCTACGTCCGAGCTTGGGAGACTTGGCTCTTGTAGTTGGTATCTGCATAAATTGCACTAGATGTCAAGGCCAAAATATAGCAGTGCACTGCTGTCAAATAACAGCTAAGTACAGTGAAGCACTATTATCACTATGCAGTTCCAACTTAACTAATCATAGTAGGAATACATGTTTCGACTACGTATTAGTCAAGAAACTTGAAACCGATTTTTATAAGCTTTCGGTAGACTACCAAAGTATGAACTGTAATGCTCAGTGCAATTTTGGGTAAAACAGTTGTTGGCAGCATCAAAATATTACGTCTGTGGTGCCTCCTTTCCAATCAAACGAAGTATGGTAGCTGTACTAGACTTGTCAATAATAACTCAGATACTACCACTGTTCCAACTGACTGAATGGGGTCAGATCGTGAGTCTTATTAAGTGATTGATAACTTTATGGATTGGCTTGATTAACATGTTCAATTTTCCAAAAATGAAAAAGGTGCATGAACTGAGAAGTATAAGTGGTAAAAGTTGCACTCTCTTGCTGTGAAGGAAAATTACATGTACAATACTGAAGAATGGGAAAATAATTTAGGACCAGTTCTTTACCAAATAAACAGTTGTTAACAGTTGCACATGCTACTAAACTAAGAGATATAAGCAGAACTATATAGGAAGATCTACCAAAGGCATCCTAGGTCATGGCCAAAGTTATAAACTAACCACCATTTAGAAGTCCGTCAATAATGTACTTGCACACCCCACCACTTTACTATATATGACAAATAAATAAAGAGTTTTCCAAACTCAAGCACAAAATCAGATTCACCAGAAAACTGGAAATTACGCATGAACAACAGAATATGCATCATGCCATTTGTGATTTTGAAAGAAAAAGATATACCTTCTTCAGCTCCACTTTAGGAGGTGGAGGCTCCTGATAGAAGCTTGGCATTGGAGTTGCTTTAAAAGTCAGTTTTTTCCTGAGCATCCTAATCTCAGCTTCCAGAGTTTCCTGTATAAGAACAGACAACATTCATAATAAGAACAGGATTCGCACACAGGTTTCGGTTGACCACCATTGATTGAATACCACCTCGGACTTGGCTTGCAAATTATTCTTTTCCATCTCCTTTGCATGTATCTTTTCCTCCAGTTTAGTATAGAACTGCCCAAGGTAATGGTAAACGTTACTTCGATAACAGAGATAGTGTTGGAAGACTCAGCATACGAAAAAAACATCAGAAAGATGCAATGCAGAAAACTAACCTCTCTCCTTTTCTCAGCTCGTTCATCGCACCTAAAACTGAAACCATATTTCGGAAGTGTCCCAACCCTAGGCTGTTTATCTCCTTCTGTTGGACTTCTAAGATGCAGTTAAGGATAAATGAAAAACGAATAAAAGGCAATAGACAAATAATGTAAGAAGACCAGCTGATTTAATAGGCAACAAATGTTCAAAAGGTTAAGGATACAAAGAGGATTGTGATTCTCCTTCAGCCTGATTCTGGGAGCCTTTTTTCAAAGGCTTCAGCTTCGCCTTCTCCCTGTAAAAGAAAAATCACAATTAACAAATAGCCAAGCGAACAATTCAATAAAGATAGTTTCCAAATTAAACATCCCAACTCAAGATGGTCTCCAAGAATTAGGGAGAAAAAATTAAACATAAGCAATAAGAGACATAAACCCCTAAGGCATAAAGAAGAGACAAGGAAATAGAACATAAACACAAGCATTACTCACACGCTGCCTTCAGACAATTCTGCATCAAGTTTTTCAGGTTGCTGCTGGAATCAAATAAAAGATTAGACAGAATAATCAACAAGAACAAAGATATCAAAATAAAACAACACAAACGTTGTATCCAAAGATTGGAAAAGCTGCAAAAAAGGAAACCGAAGGTGAAATTGACGTTTACATTGGATGACTGAACCTGTCTCCCATTAAATAATCTATTCTTGTTAGGCTGTTTCGGGCATGAATTTGGAGCAGCTGAACCATTTGAAACAGAAGCTTTTGCCTCAGTGCCATTTCCATCTTTGCTTTTCTTCATCAAAGTTGGGGAGACGCTCTTGGGACCAGGGGCCTTCTCATTCTTGCTCTTACCTGGACCTTTATGCACTTTGGCGGGCTTTGAACGAGTAGAACCCTTCACTTCATCTTCCTGCAACACAGACATGCAGATGGAAATGTAAATCAGGTCGACGCGTATAATTAACTCAAACCAGCCAGCCGAAATCTAGCACTTCCTACCTTAGCAATAGTCAAAGCAACAGTCAAACCATTACTTTCAGGGTTGACATTGGCCTCTATAGCTTCCCAAACAGACGAGCTATTAGTCCCACCGTCATCCACCTTATCAGCATTTCCAATTTTCCCACTTGATGCTGCAGTCTCCGTCATAGCATTCTCGCTGAAGGTCCCATTCATGTCGTCTGAAACAACACCAGCCTGCCCATGAACACCGTTTTGATGAGCCACCTCAAGCCCGTAGGTGGCTGCCAAATTATCTGAATCCATGACACACTAACTACAAAATTAAGAACAATCTTATTATTATTCCCATCAAAACTATTATCTATAGAATACGGGCTCGAATTTAAGGTATTGCCCAATAAGAACTGTAATTAAATTAATTTTCCTCCAGTTTCTCAGCAAACAAACAGAGTGCAGATATACTTGCCTCGGAGTAAATTCCGAAATTAGTTAAATCAAAATCTTCATTTAATAAAAAATACACCAAGATTTAAAACTGAAAAATAAATAAATAAATTATATAATAAAATCCACATCAAGCACAAAACACAAGCCACATTTCCAGAACAAAAATCTTTAAATTTTACACTGATCTAACACAAACATGCAACAAATAACCAGTAAGGAAATCAACGATCAATACAAAAGGCACAAGATTCAACATTTGGCTATCCCTAGAGCTCAGAACTCAGTCTTCAAGCCGAAATCAATACAAAAACCACAAGATTCAACATTTTCCTGCCATTTCATCACATTTTCTCGGCAGCCAAACGGACTACCACTGTAAAACAAGCTTAAAGAGTATCCACTCACCTCGACAAGCGCACAACAACAACTAAAACTTCATTAGCTCCGGCCCAACCGCAGAGACGGCTTCAAGGATCTGAGCGCCGGAGAGTGAAGAGAGTACGGCAGCGACGACGGCGGAAGCGGATCGGAGGATCCGGACCCAAAAGGGAAGATCTTTTTCGGATTCAAAAGTCGGAGTTTTGATAATTCCTTTTCATTTTTGGGGGGTTTAAAGAAAATGAAATCGGAAATAATAATAAACGATATAAATAATAAATTTTGTGGATTTGAAATTTGAAGGAGTGAGTGAGTGAAGAATGAAGCGTATGAAATGTGAGTAAATAATGAAAGCGAGTCGGAGTGAGTGAGTGGAGACGCGGGGCCGACTCAGTTACGACTCGGAGGAAGAGGCGTTTTTGCTTATACGATTTCGGATTTAAAAACACCAAATCCAGGTCAGGTTTCTCTCTCTCTCTCTCTCTCTCTCTCTCTCTACGCCAACCAAATACACTGTATATACTGTCACCGTACTTTCAAGATATACGGTTTTACGGTTTTCGGGCAAGTATTAACTGCCCACTAACAAAGTAACAAACCCTCCACACCAACTTTTTTACAGTTACTTATTTCAGTTTTACTTCTAGAATGTGGAATGATATCTTCATTCTAGTTTTATTTGAGCGACATAATGGGAAGGAGGATTCGAATATAAGATATCGGATGCAAAGAACAACGCACTTAACCACTTGGATATTTCTTCTGAAGACAAGATTTTTGTTGTTTATTACAAAATAAATTGTCGTTATCGATAAGGTGCGAATATTGTATCGATAATGTTAATAAGCAATCTATGTTCCGTAACCCATACACGATGAATCTAAAGTGCAAAAATGAATGCACTTAACTGGTTGGACATTTCTTTTAGAAACGAAATGTTTGTTGTTTTTCAAAGACGAATTGTCAATATCGATAAAATGTGGATATTGTAAATTTTGATGGTAAATTATGTTTTCTAACCGACACATGATTTGAAATCCTACGACTCATACATTGCCCTATTGCCTATTCTAGTATTATCATTTTTTTTTTATCATCATTTGAGGTTTAAGACAACTTACGCATATCTATAGGATTGTGGTACCTTTGGAATTCTTTCTTACTTTAGTTTATATAGATATAGATATATTTACAAGTGGTAATTTAGGGAGAGGAATATGAAAACTGAGACCACAAATTTTCGTAACCAATTGAACTACAAGTTCATTACTATTAGATGTTTTTATTGATTGCAAACGCTTGAAATTTGGAGTAATTAGATTATGATTAATTAATTTAATTTAATTTTCACAAAATTGGAATGTTACATTAGCTTAAGTAATATCGTTAGTAATTAAAAAATTATATTTGAGGTGATTTTGTTTTTTTTAATATAGTTAATTAATTTGTTCAAATACAAGTCATGTTTGAATCAAACAATAAGTTCGAAATTTGAAGGCAGTAATGCATTAATTCTGATTTCTTACTTTGATTTTGGTCAATAATTTTTTACTTTGCTTTCTCTGGTGGAAATGTCACATCTGTAACTCTCACTTTTTTTTCTCTTTCAATTATTTAAATTAGTTTTCTGGTAGGGTTAATTTCCTTCTTTTTTGATTCAATTGTTTGCAAATTGAGGGTTTCTATTTGGAAGTCAATATTTTCACAATATGGAACAAAATACACTGTTATTATTTATTTGCATCTTTGTCTTACTTTCCCTTTTTCTTTTTTAAACAAACGATACTATCCGTTTTCTAGGTAGAATATCTGAGGGGGGAAATAGTAAAACGATTTATTTTATAACGCATCTCTTACTTTAATTGGGCAATACAACCATACAAACAATAGTATTGGAGTCATCAAATTTGCCAACTTTGACACACCCCGACCAAGAATGCCCACTTGGACTCCGAATCGAGCTGTGATGGCGAACACCTGAAATGTGACAAAGCCATAAAATGTAGTGTAGTGGAAAAGGTGAATAAATTTAAACCTGAAAGTGCCTAAATATAAGAGTGCGCTATGAGCGGGAATAAACTCATTTCACACGTAATGTTAGAGCATAAGTAAAGTACAGTAGAATGAATTAAGAATCATACCATCGAAGGTAATCTCCAATACCAGATTTCCCATGAATCCTCGTCGATAAGAAAGCTCAACTATTAAAACCTGGAGGGGCGAAAAATAAGGGTGAGTGGGCCTGAAAATAAAGTTTTATAAAAACCATTTTGAAACATTATAACCCCTCATTGTAAAACAAGTATAGTTTCCAAAATATACTTACTACATATAGTATAAAAATGCTTACCGTAGCCTGCAAAATCTCAAGAATTCATTACGACACAATATCTCGTAACTAAAGGCAAGACATCCAAAATCACAAAATCTCAAAAAATCAGGTGTTCAATCAATTTATACTATCACACAAAGCCTAATGCGACCTATACGACTAAACTGATGCTCATCAATCTATGCTAGCACACGAGTCGAAGTTGACTAATGCATCATGTACGACAGGATTGGGTGTAATCATAATATACGCTTTAGTGCTACAATCACACGAAGACTGGTGCTATTCGCGATCACCTACGAGTCAGAGTTGCCTAATGCAACATGTACGACAGGACTGGCACCTACTTGGATCCAAGGCAAGCGTGCGGTGTGGAGGTGAACATACATGTGAAAGACTGACCCTGGCCCTGAGCGAGCATTAACACCGGGGTGATTTGATAGTTGTAACCAACATACTAACATTCATAGCCGTAGATATAATTATAGCATCAAAGATTATAAATAAACCTGTAAACGGGTCAGGTTTACCAGGTTTGGGTCAGGTTTGACCCGACCTGTTAATTTAACGGGTCACCAACAGGTCACCCAAGCCCAACCCGTTAAGCTAACGGGTCACCCAAACCCAACCCCGTTAATCTAATAAGTTACCCATTTCACCCATTTCAATCGTTAACACTCGTTAACAATTTTTTTTTCATCCAAATCAAATACAGCCCCATTTTGTATAGTAGAATTCGACTTCCTATCAATTATACACGTTCATAATCTGAGGGGTTGGCGTTTTCAGGCAGAGAACTGTTTTGCCAATCATCAACATCTCTAGGACCAAGGTTTGGAGAAGCAGCAGCCCCAATAAGATAGGCAGCCAAAATAATCAAATGACTATTAGCCCTCGGAAAATCCTCTCATAGGTTCCCATCAGTAGAAGACTTCATCCACAAGGGTTCATTGGTCTGCAAAAGCCTAAGCAACTCTTCCATGGCATTTGCAGCAATGTCAGTCATGAGAGACTTATCCATGTCTGAAAACCCATTAGGCTGGTAAGGTAAATTGGGCATGGAAGATGAAGCACTCTTAGATAAAATATCAAGATCAAGCGAAGGTCCGACCATCCCATGACCCACAAAACTTGCCATTGATAAGTCCAAAGACGAAATATGACTAGGCTGAACAAGTGGGAGCTGGGAAATTGGCCTCCCAATGTATTTTGCAGCAATACTAGACACTCTATCAAACTACAAATGAATGAAAAAGTGAAAATTTGAAATTACACAAAAGTCCTCAATAACGAGTGTTAACGGGTTTCGCAGGTTGGCCCAAAATGACCCGTTAATGACCCGACCCGTTTAGCACTCACCCAAATACTAATTTTAACAGGTCGGGTTGAAAATGCCAGTTCTAATTATAAGCATACATGTGCATCCCGTAAGATGTAGCATATTTCATAAATTCCGTCATTTCGTTAATTCTTATCAACTTTAGTCTAATCCAGGCGTATGTAAGAAATTCTTTTTCAAATGCATAAATGGAAACTATCAATCATATATATATATACTATAAAAAATAAAAGACCTACTCACCTGAAGTCCACGCTACAACTCCCTAACACGAATATCGAGCCGTCACGAGCGATAGTCGTCTAGAACAAATATCAAATCACATCTCAGAATTCATATCGATAGAACACATAACTTACATAAAACACATCCCCAAGGACATTCTAGAATGACTTGAAACTCATTGACCAAAAGTCAACAGTCAGTTGAAGGTCGACTGTAGAGTCCACAACCCTGCATAATTCGATCCAAAAGAACTGCACCTTAGAATTCCGATCTGTAAATTCCCAAGGGTTTCAATAAGCTTCTAGAACAACATCCTAAAGCTTTGGAACGATCCAACGGTCAGATTTCCGCCAATTGCTAAAATTAAGTGACGACCGACGTTTAGATTTACAAACTTAGAAATCCAATTCGGGAAGATCCGTACTTCGGATTCTCGATCCGTCAGTTCCTATGGTCCTCAAATATTGCATTCTATAGCATATTAAGGTTTGTTGACACCAATGTCGGATCGTCAATTCATATAAGGATCAAGTGGCGATCTCTATCAAAACTATGTTCAAACGATGAGATTTCATCAATCGGACTTCACCTATGGAATTGGGGTATCAAATTTAGCCTAGGAAGTTCAGGGGGTGCTTCAGCCCACGTGCCACCGCACAAGGCGGTTGCCCGCCCTGACTCACCGGAAAATTCAACTATTTCTAAAAATTACCAAATTTTACAGTCATGTAGAACAAATCAAAGGGAACAATTTTCATACCTGGGCCAAGGTCCAATTCGGGTGGGAAACACCTGAATTTTTCCTCGATCCGTCGGAAACCCTAGAAATAAGTGGCTTTGATTTGTCACCTCCGGTGCCCTGCCACTCCTAAAATTGTTTAGGATTTGTTCCAGGCCTCAAGAAGAGTGTTTTGGTGGTGGTGGTGGTCAACATAGCTTTCACGATCGACGAATTTCTGTTGTGGCACCCCCGGAACCGACGGTTCCGTTCTTTGCGATATAGTGCCAAAACCCCAACAATCTTGGGTGTAAGCGGAAGAGGGGATGATGGTGATTGATTTCCAGGTGGTGGCGAGCCTTGGATCGCATGAAAAGCGATGGGAAAGTCGTCGGGTCGCGCATGTCCAATGAGGAAGGAACGAGTCAACCTGGTTTGGGTTCTCTCCTATTCTTATTCTCTCATTTCCCTCATGTTCTCTTCTTTAATTTGCTCCTCACTCCCTCTCTCCACCCCATTGGCCGCCCATTTCCCCTCTTATTTTTTCTTGATTGGGAAAACCGTCTACCCCCATCTCTTTTCTCCTTCCTCATCTCATTTGTCTCTCTATTTTTTCAACTAATATTATAATAATAATATAATAACAAAATATTGTTAAAATAATAATGTAATATTTATGAGAAATATATAAAATAATAAATAGTAATCCTTACAAATGTACTTTTCGGATTTGTAGTTCCGTAAAATTTTAATCGTAATTCCTAATTTGCGTCCGCTTGTGCCTACACGTTTGTATCGTCGCGTACTACACAATTACGCTAAAAGAAT